TGTCAGCCATTTTTCCATTTGAATTGTTTTATAGATAAAATGACTTGCTATTCCAATTTAAAAAATGTATTTAGTAGGGCATACCACAAATTATGAAATTAATCTGGCAAAAGAGATGCAACTCTTCAAGTTGCAAGCAAAAATACTGGAAACAGGATAATAGGCTAGTTTGAACAGGTTTGGTCTTTAAAAAACGAAATGGCAGCAGCAAAATGTCAAATGAAATTCAATGCGATGAGTGCAAAGTAATGCACAATGCAAAGAGCTATTTAATGCAGGTATAGAATACTGAGCTCTGGAAACAGATTTTGGAGTCACTGTACGTTGCTGAAGTAACCAGTGCACCACAGCAGAAGAAGGCAAGCAGAAAGGTCAGAAACTATTAAGTGAGGAGAAGGGGGAGAACCATCTCATCCTCTGCCGTCCTCTTCTCCTTTTGCCTTCAATCTTTCCCAGCATCAGGGTCTTCTCCAAAGAGATCTCTCTTCGCATTAGGTGGCCAAAATATCTGAGCTTGAGCTTCATTATCGATCCTTCCAATGAGCAATCAGGGTTGATTTCCTTTAAGATTGACTGGTTTGACCTCCTAGCAGTCCAGGGAACTCTTAAGAGTCTTCTCCAGCACCACAGTTCAAAGGCATCAATTCTTCGGCGCTCGGCCTTTTTTATGGTCCAGCTCTCACAGCCATACATTACTACTGGAGAGGAGAAGGGGGAGCTCACAAAAGAAAAGCAGTTAACCAAAATCACTGTTGGGCATACTGCTCAACCCCATGAAGAGAAGGCATAAAAGAATGGTTCCAGAGAAAAGAAAACCAAATCAAATAAAACCACAGACAATGCCAATTTCAATTGCAAGGAAATGCCTAGAAGTCTGTTAGTGAAGGAATGGTAACCCAAACCTTTCCTTCCAAAAGTGGGGGGGGGGGAGATAATCACAAAGTTGAATTTACTCAGGTCTCAGGAGACATGAATGAGGATAGCTAGATTCAGAATTGCTACCAAAGATGACATTAAAACAGGGAACAGTTCCATGAAATGAATTACCAGGTGACTTCATAAAAAGCTGATTCTACATAAGATACAACTATTCTATAGAACTGTGAAGGCAGTAGCATAGTTGTAAAGGCTACTGGCATGGATTTTTAAAAAGGATTCAGTACTATGTTTTTGGAGATTGAGACTCTTAGCAGCTACTGTGACAGTTCTGTGTGTGTGTCTGTGTCAGAGAGAGACAGAGGCCGACAAATTGCTATTCTTTTAAATCTTGACTTTTCTACTATATTCAGCCTTCAGCCCAATCACTTTTGATCACAGGATGTTGGGCTAAATTAATCAGTGGATTTATACAATTTAGCTTAAGTGATCAGTGAGTAAGAAATGGCCACTCAGCAATGTTAACCTAAGGCATCTTATCCATACTGCTAGAATGGATACTCATGAGTAAATCAGAGGTAACATCGCAAACTTACCAGAATGGGAAATGGAATATTTTAAAATGTTGCAAACAAGTTGTTTTGAGATTTTGAAAAATGCAACTAACATATTTATATTAATAGTCTAGTGACTGAATGTCTGCCTGTCTAACTTTTCATGTACAAACCTTTCTGTTCTTAACTTTGGTAATGATGGTACTGTATTATTTCAAATACAAGCCCTTGCAATTTGCGCTATGCATTGCTAACAACCTGGATATAGTAAGAACAGCACCAATAAATAATTTAATCATCTACCTTATCTATGTAAATAAAAGTTAATTAGTTTCATTTCAAGTGTCTTTTTTCTTGTGCAGAAATAATCTGCAGTGTGTCTCAGAACAGCTTTCCCAAACCTGGCATTCTGTAGATACACTGAAACTACAAAACCTATAATTTCTGGTCTTTGGCAATGTTGAGAATTCTGTGAATTGTAATCGCAACACATCTGGAGGGTGTTGGGAAAGCTGTCCTGGGGAGGAAAAAACAACAACCTAGTGCAGATGGAGTTGTAAAACTGAACAAGTCTTCTAGCAAGGGACAGTGACAAGCACGAGTGCATTATTAGAGCTCTATTTAGATAGAGTTCACTACTTTTCCTCTTTAGGCTAATTCTCAGGTTTTCAACTCCAAGGATTGATATCTATCATCTCCTGTAAAAAGCTACAGAGCTCAATCTTTTAAAAAAAAAAAAAAAGTGGGGTGGGCGGGATTGGGTTACAGCAGTGAGACATGAACTTCCAATGGACAATTTCCACAGAAAAATGAACGGAACAAATTTCATTGACAGCACAAAGTTCTGCTGGGCTTCCTGCCATGTGAAAATCAGCAACAAAGATGCCTTCTCCAAGCAGCATTAGTCAGTTGCATTTTTAAAGAAATACCTAGTTAAAAGTTGATAAACTAGTATGGGATCTGATTTTCCCAAAACAGGATACTTCTGGATATCTTAAAACATCACCAGACTGGGCAGAGCATTCCCTCTTAATTGTCCTTCTTTCAGTCTCCATGGCGTCAGAAACATGCTTTACAGTAGTTTCAACCATCGACTTACAGCAGCAATACTGACAATCAAGAAAGGAGCAAATATTCCCCTTTCTTTCTTGCTGAAGGGCTTAGAACAGTATTTTTCAGACTTGGCAACTTTTAAGATGTGTGGTCTTCAACTTCCAGAATTCCCTAGCCAGCCTATGCTAGCTGGGGAATTCTGGGAGTTGAAGTCCACACATCTTAAAGTTGCCAAGTGAAAAACATTGGCTTAGAGAGATGCCTTGTAAGTGCTATGTTCTTTCCTATTTATGCCCATTACAGTTTCATATCTTACCACTGATCCCTACCTAAATCCATGTGATTATCTGAATATCAACATGATCATAGCATTTTTAACTGCATGATCAATAATCACCAGCTTTTGTTTTATTACTTTTCATGACACTCACATAATACTGAATTACTCTTTCCGTAGACAGGACTGAAATATTGTCTCATATTTTATTAGAATTTGAAATGCTGCACAACATTATAAGCTCAAAAGAAAAACCCTAAATTACAGTAAATAATACTGCCTTAGTTTTTAATTAGCAAAATGGCATTATTTACTTCCTGGGACTTGGCGTTTTATGTCTTTTAATGGGTACATCAATATCCCTTTAGTTAAGGTGGTTTCCAAAAAGAATAAAAAAGTTAACGAACCTCACATTTCTATTCCTTATGAAAATAAAAGTATTCAAAACTTGGCATTTATGATCTATATGATGAAGTCTACAATTTTGCCTATTTCAACTGAAACATAAAAACTGGTGGGGTAATTGAACTTTTTAATCTATTTTTGAACAAGTACTTGTATATTATCCATTTCAATCAAATGTTAATAACACAGGTGATATGCCAACGGATGTACTTTATTCAGACTTGTGAAGGAAGGCAATCCTTCATTTGTTTTATGAAGTTCTGAGCAGCAATTCAATAGTTGCTGGCAAAGACTTCCATGCTGTATTCCAGCACAAGGTTGAGTAGCAGCAAATGAACCAGAAACAACCTACAGTAGTGCTAGATTATGTAAGTTTTATTTCTTTTAGTGGGTATTCAGAATATAGTTGCAGTCTTCATTTGCAGTTTAAACCCTTCATTATAAACTTTAGGAAGGAAGTTTCAATAAACAACCCAGGACCTTTCCTTTTTATAATTTAGCATAAAGAAGCTTCTAGGTATTTCAAAACCTTGGTCCCTTGGTATTTGACTGGGAGTTTTGCTTATTCCAATTAAAAGTACTTTTCTTCTGTTCTTTCAATTCACTGTAATAAGCAAATAGAGTTACAAACATACCTTGCTTGTATAAGTAGTACAAATTTCAACCAAAACTGTGAAGCATTCTCTGGGAAATAAAATCATGCTTACTACTAGTTAACTCTAATTATCATAAAGCCTAAGAAGGAAAACAAATTAAGATACATTGGTATTGGTGGACTATATTAGTGATAATTTTATTTTTCAAACACCAGAAAAATGACGTTCTATGCAAGAACAAGTATTTTTCAGGTGGATGTTGATAACCCCCTCCTCCCCAAAAAACCACTTGTCAATTTAAGACTTGAGTTAAGGTTTACCTATGTTGGCTAAAGCACCAAAGCTAAGAAAGGGAATCCACATCACAGAAAAGACTAATTTCCTTTATAGAACCAAGTAGGACTAAGATAACATAGAATATCTTGCTTCTATACATCTGGATTTGGGTCTGAAAGGCCACAGAAAAACATGGGCACAAGAAAGATAAGCAAAGCAAAACACAATTTTTACATTATAGACAATATTACTTCTAATCATGGGACATGCCTATTAGCATCCAATTTTCTGGTTTTGTAAAGCTTGAGCCAATGAAAACAGCCAAATGAGTAACTTCTTGGATCAAGTGTTATCTTACTCTCTCAGTATATTCAGCACTATTACACTAAGCCAAAAGTGGGCAAGAAAAGACTGTTATACTGCCAGGAACAAATTCAGCTGGGGGGCAGAGGGGGAGAGAATCTATGTTTTATAGTCATTCAGGTGAAAGAACAAAGAATTAAAGAATATTAAACCATTCAGCTAATGAAAACTCAGCACAGATAACATTCTCACCAAGGGTCTGGGGCCTAGGAACAGCCAACAGTCTTTGACACTCAAAAATATTGTTTCTATGAAATGTGATTTACTTTATTGTCACAAGGTGAGCTATTCATTCAGAAGCAGCAAGGAGAAACATATTTCAGCTGGCCAGGGCCCCAGTTTTAAGCTGTAAGAGAGATTGGTCTGGCATTCCTCAGCCTTGACCTTCTCTGCCCCCCAATCTGTTCTCATGTGGTCTGCAATTTCAAGTACTGGAGTTAGTGAGCACCCTGCTCTAATAATAATTGGACAGAAATAGTGAACCAGCTGAACATGTTTCTGCTTTTTCAACTTATGCAGGGATGGACAGCCTTCCTGGATCACAGCAAGGATATCTCTATCCGTCCAACACTTAGCTAATATTTATTGAGAAAAAGCAGTTCACTCACCTTCATTGTTGCCATCAGGAGGATGATAGAAAGAGAGACCCAGAGAAATTATGGCTGCAATTTCCAAGATGATTAATGTGACATCCTGCAATGCTTCCCAAACTAACTGCAGGAAGGTCTTCGCCTTTTTGGGTGGGATGAAGTTCTGGCCAAATGCTTGTCTTCTTTTTTCTAGATCTGCTGGGTTCCCAGACAGGCCTGCAAGCAAGGAAAAGGAAATTAAACATTATGTCAAGAAAGTGAAATCCCTTTGATCTCTTTCTCTAAAGCAAAAGGATCTTCCACATTGTCCATTATTTCTACAACTTAATAATTTCCTGCCAGCCCAAACATAGTGCTCTTTGGTACTAAATGCTGCCTGCCAATAGATCTCATGAGCAAGAATGCTCTCTAAAACAGGCTGAAGGCCTGGTGAATGGAATGGAGATTGAGACATGAAGAGGTAAAAACAGGCACTGTAGCCTTAAAGAACCTAAGTATCACTGAAATTGAATATTTCTATCTACTGGCAGATAGAGCATCCTCTCCAATGTTTAGCTTTGTCATGGAGAACGTCACTATTATGATATGCTGTGCACCATCTTCTCCATGCTGCACCAGTCTGTGATTGTACAGATAGATAATCTGGTATTTGCTATGAAAATTGGACATCCCGAATTTCTGCTGCTGCTATTATTATTGTTGTCGTTAATATTTTGCTCCATTTACTGGAAAGGAAACAGGCATTCTATAAAAAGACAGTGGGCCTTCCCATAGGAAACAGTAAGTCAAGAGTTCCACTAGACTTTATAGGGCCAATCTGTTTCCTTTTCTTACTCTAAATCCCCTTTCAGCAAGAGTAACTGAATAACCACTCAAGAGTAACTCAAGAGTAACTAAAACACCCTTTTCAGGACTTATAGCAGACTGTAATGCAGTGTCTAGAAACTATAGCACTGCCACACATACAACCAAAAGTATGGATCCAGTATGTAGACATTTTTGGTCATAATAAAAAAGGAGCAACTAGAGAAGACACATGAAACAATCAACATTTTCAAAGGAATAAAGATCACAAGGGAAGAAGAAAACAACAACACACTACCCTTCCTGAATATCCTCATCAGCAGAGGAAACGATGGCAAATTAGAAACACAAGTCTATTGAAAAACAACCCACATTACCAAGGTAACAACCCAACCTCCCACAAGAGGAATAATGTGTAAGAACATTATTCAGATGACTACAAATGCACTGCAGCAACCCAGAACACCAGAAAAAGGAAACAGACCACCTATACGTCCTCCAACAAAATGGATACCCACGCAACTTTATCAAAAAGCGCCTGACCACTCAACCCACTACAGCACAAACAACACAAGCTATGAAAAGAGTAACACTGCCCTACATCAAAAACATCTCAGAAACTACCAACAGACTATTACATCCACATGGTACCATTGTAGCACGCAAACCGATTAAAGCCCTCCAAAACTTCTTAAGTAAACCAAAAGAACCAGTAGCCAAGAAGAAAAAACAGGAGTCATCTACAACATATGTTGTAGTGTAAGGATACTATATGTAGGACAGACAGGCAGAAGACTAGCAGAGCACATCCATGAGCACCAACTAGCAGTCA